CTTATGAGTCCTTTTCACTCCAGCTGGGTCACATTCTTTTTACTCAAGGACAGGGAATAATCATTCCAATTATAATTCCTCAGTCACTATGTGCCACTTCTTACTGGGCTCCATGATTTCTTGTGAGAAATCTGTTGTCATTCAAATTATTTTTCCCCTATGTGTAAGGTGTCATTTTTCTCTGGATGCTTTAAAGAATTTTATTTCTTTATTTTCAGAAGTTAAATAATTTCTTTCACAAGGATCAGTACAAAGCTAGTTCCTATGAGGCAAAGGTTAAAGATGTACCAAATGTCCAGTCTTTCCAAACTGCTGTACCACTCCATCATTTCTCACATCAACTACTCCCTCTCCCCTTAGCACTGCCACTCATCTTTGGGTTTCCTAATTTGCTGCAATGTCTCACAAAACTCACGAACCATATAAAGGAAATGGCTCATGCAGTTGTGGAGGCTGGGAAGCCCCATATCCATGGGTCAGGCATAGGCTTCTCCCGACCCACATGGTTGCAGGGGCTGATGAACCCAAACTGGCACTTCAGACCACAGGCTGCTGGCTCACAAGGGTGCGGAAGCTGGCAAATCAGGTCAGAAAATGGAGGCCGGCAAATTCCAGAGTCGGCAGGTTAGACAGCAGGTCTCTGGCTCATGTCCCAAGAACTGCAGGTCAATTAATCACAAACCAGACGCAGGATCCAGATGCAGAGAGCCTCACCAGGACACACACATATATCTTAGATGCAGACCACACCCCAGGGAAGGGCATAACTTTAATAAGGGTGGGACTTGAGTCACTCTGTCCTGCAAGACTGTGACCCAAAACACACCCTATGCCAATCCTGCCTCATCAACATGTAGAGATCAGGATCCACAACACATAAAATGGAGGACAACCATGCAATATAGGGAATCATGGCCCAGCCAAGATGACATATAACCCTAATCATCACAGGTTCCATATACCTTATTTGCATAGTCCAACTCAATCATTGTGTGTGAGTCACAAAGACCATGGTTAGGAGGGCCATATTAAGTAATTCATTGTATCACAGAAGTTTAATCATAATGGGTTTTGGCATGGATTTCTTTGAGTTTATTCTATTTGGGATTTGCTTACTGTTATGGATTGAATTATGTCCCCCCACAATGTGTGTCAAGTTGGCTAGGCCATGATTCTCAGTATTGTGTGGTTGTTCACCATTTTGTGATCTGATGTGATTATCCTACGTGTTGTAAATCCTAACCTCTATGATGTTAATAAGGCAGGATTAGAGGCAGTTATGTTAAAGAGGCAGGATTTGATCTACAGGATTAGGTTGTATCTTGAGTAAATCTCTTTTGAGAAATAAAAGAGAGAATTGAACAGAGAAGACAGGGACCTCATTACCACCAAGCAAGAAGAGCCAGGAGCAGATCGCATCCTTTGGACCCAGGGTCCCCGCACTAAGAAGCTCTTAGACCAGGGGAAGATTGATGGCAAGGACCTTCCCCCAGAGCCAACAGAGAGAGAAAGTTTTCCCCTGGAACTGACGCCCTGAGTTCGGACTTCTAGCCTCCTAAGCTGTGAGAAAATAAATTTCTGTTTGTTAAAGCTATCCACTTGTGGTATTTCTGTTATAGCAGCACTAGATAACTAAGACGCTCACCTTCTTAAATCTATAAGCTCACTTCTTTTGCCAAAATTTGGAATTTTTTAGCCATTACTTTCCAAGTACTTTTTCAGTGCTGCCTTCTTTCCCTTCTCCTTCTGAAACTCCAATGATACTAATGTTAGATCTTTTGTTATAGTCCCACCTAGTACCCCTAGCCACTCACGTCCACCATATGTGGTGATGATGGCACTGAGGAAATGAAGTGCTGCCATTCTGTCCCATCAGAGGGTGGGTCTGGTGGTCACGGGGGGAGGAGGAGTAACACTCACTGAGCACACTCAGGAGTCTACTCAGGGGTATGGGAATTCCCAGAGGTATTTGATTACTATGATGACTGGGAGTACCCCTGGCATTTAGTCTGGGGACAGGTGCAAAGGCAGTCTGTGTGGGACAGTGAAGCTCAGCAAAGAAGTGCCCCAACCAGGATGTCAGTAGCTCCCTTTCCACACGTAAAAACAAAAAGAAGAAAGGAATGAGGGAGGGCAGAGGGTGAGAAAGGAAGGAAGGAGGGAGGGCAGACACACTTGCCTGTCTCCTGGGCAGAAGGAGCACTAGTCTTATTAGAAGTGTGGCCACTGCTGCTACCGACACCAAAAAGCCCCGAGCACACAGAGGAGACCTCAACAACCATCTAGTCCAAATTTTTCTGTTATAGGTGAGAAAACAGGCCCAGGGAGGCAGGGGATTTCCCTCCAGGGCTTCTGGACTCTCTGACCAGGAGGCCACATCAGCTCCTGTGACCACCCTCCTGGCCTCAGAGTTACCCTCAGGCCCCGGAAGAATGAGAGGTGACCTAACAGGGCCAGAGCACTTAACTGAGGTTCAGAGGGGAAGCAAAGAGCAGCCAGGGTCTGGGTGGTGGTGAGGGTCAGGGACTGAGTGTCTCTGCCCCCAGTTAAGGGCTGGCTTCAGTGATCTGAGGAGGGCCAAGGAACAGCAGTCACTGACCCCTGTAAACATGCAGGAGCCACCGGGACTGGGCCCTAACAGGTTGCCCCAGCACCTGAGAAGGGCTCAGGATCTGTGTTTTCCTCAGAAAGCATTACAGGTTGCACATATCATGGTGATCACAGGCCCCAAATCTCACTCCTGTTCCTCAAAGCATGGTCCATGGAGCATCAGACCCACCTAGGAGCTCGCTTGAAACAAGAACGCACGGCCCTACCCCATGCCGACTGGGTCAGAAATTGCCTTGTGGCCAAATCTGCAGGTAATTGCATGCTCTGTCAAGTTTGGGAAGCACTCTGCTAACAAATTGGCAGCAGGTGTCCCAACACTGGGTCACTTCTAGGGATGCGAACGGAGGTCAGGAGTTCACAGAGGCGGTGGGGAAACTGAAAGAGGATATCCTGGGAAGAACTGTCAGTTTGCTGTCTTCCCTTCCCTGCTTCCTTCCTCCCCTCTCCTCTCCATAGCAGCTGTCATAGATTGAATTGTGTCCCCTAAAAATATGTGTATCAATTTGGCTAGGCCATGATTCCCAGTATTGTCCACCATTTTGTCATCCGATGTGATTTTTCTAAGTGTTGTAAATCCTGTCCCTATGATGTTAATGAGATGGATTAGCAGCAGTTACGTTGATGGGATCTACAAGATTAGATTGTGTCTTAGGCCAATCTTTTTTGAGATATCAAAGACAGAAGTGAGCAGAGAGACATGGGGACCTCATACCACCAAGAAAGAGGAACAGAAGCATGTGTCCTTTGGACCCTGGGTCCCTGCACTGAAGAGCTCCTAGTGCAGGGGAAGATAGAAGACAGGGACTGTCTTAGTCATCTAGTACTGCTATAACAGAAATACCACAAGTGGATGGTTTTAACGAAGAGAAGTTTATTTCCTCACAGTTAAAGTAGGCTAAAAGTCCAAATTCAGGGCATCAGCTCCAGGGGAAGGCTTTTTCTCTCTGTTGGCTTTCTCTTCGGTGTTCCCCCGGACTAGGAGCTTCTCTGCGCAGGGACCCCTGTCCAAAGGACGCGCTCTGCTCCTAGCACTGCTTTCACAACGGTGAGAGAGTGTCCGAAAGGAGTTGCTGATCCTAGCTCAGGTTGGGACGCCTTTCCTGAGGGGCACATGGACCTGAGCACTGACGGGAAGGAGGCAGTGGGCATGGGGGCCATGCCTCCTCACGGAGGAAACAGCTTGCCCTCCCTGTGTGTTTCCCCCTCCCACTCTGCCACTGTCACTAGACACCTCTCCATGCTCCCCGCACGAGTTCCAGAGCACAATGTCCTCTATCTGGAGAACACCTCTCCCTGCTTCCTTCAGTCTATCCTCCACCCTTAGTAGAGGAGGCCATTGCACCTCATGCACGGCCACCACCCATCTGTCAGTGATGCTGAACGGGTTTCAGCAGAGCTTCCAGACTACGATGGACTAGGAAGAAAGGCCTGGCCATCTACTTCTGAAAAATGGATCACAACAGGTCCTATCTGCAACAGATCATTCCGTCAGGCATTGGGTGGCCATAAGTTGCTAACTCGATGGTAGTTAACGACAACAAATCTGAAAACATAAATCAGAACAGCCACAGCCTTGCTTTAAAACCCTCACATCTACTTGCGTTTAACATCAAGCCCAAGCTGCATACCTTGACACGGAGAGCCCTCCTGCCCACCTCGCCCATCGCAGCTCCTACCACCCTTCCCTCGCCCCTTGGCTCCAATCACACTGACGGATGCCAGCCCCACAGACACCACGCTGTGCTCCGGGTCTGCACCGCAGCCTAAGGTCTCAGCTCACATGACCCTGCAGGAGGTCCTCCTGGTCACCCAGCGTGCTCTCCCCTACAGCCTCTTGGTCTCTCTGGGCACCTACCTGTCCCCCACGTGTCTCTTTACCCTACCCCCACCCCCCAAGCTCTAAGTTCCCTGAGGCAGCAACACAGGGAGATGTACTAGGGGCTCAAAACCACAAATGAGTAAAAAAAAGTAAAGAACAAACGAATGAAGGAATATTTCAGCAAGGGCAATAATAAACGGTTTTGGAGTTATTTTTAATTCCCCTTTAAAATTGTAGGGTTACTCGAACCCATCAAGTCTGCTCTGACTTTTAGAGGCCCTGTAGGACAGGGCTGAATTGCCTCGTAGAGTTTCCAAAGAGCGGCTGGATTTGAACTGTCGACCTTTTAGTTGGCAGCCGAGCTCTTAACCACTGTACCATCCACTGCACCGCTGAACAGGAAACCACCTGCCATTTTAGACAGGTGGCGGGTGTGAGGGCTCCGCCAGCAGGGGGCGCGCGAGCTCTCCGCGTCCCGCCTGGGCTCCGCCCCCGCCTGCGCCTCGCCACACCTCTTTCCCCGCCCCTTCCGCCTCCGCTTCCGCCTCGGGGGAGCTGAAGGCCTCACACTTCCGGGAGCTCCGCGTGGAGGGCTTGGGCGGCTGGGACATGGCGGATTTTGATGGCCCCGCTAAGCCGCTCCTGTCGCTGAACCCGCAGGAGCAGGCCAAGTTTCAGAAGCAGGTGGCGCAGGTCCGCCGGCGCGCGACCCAGGTGAGCTGCCGCCGCGGCCTGGACCGCGAGGGGTGGCGGCCGACGGGCTGGGGAGGCCTCAGAAGTCGCGGGGAGCCCAGCCCGGCTGTGTGTCCGGCGCGCCTGGCCCTCCTCGCGCCTCTGGCCCCTCCAGGGTCTCCCCAGGCGGGCGCCCGACGGACTCAGGACCTGCCCCCGTGAGCTGGTAGGCCGAGGGCCTGCGGCCGGGGCCGCGGGTCGGGGTTCCCCGAGGCGTGGGGTCCTCGTGCGGAGGTAACGGGCAGGTATTGGGGGGCGCGGCAGGAGGAAGAGGGCGCCAGCTGGTGGGAATGGCCTTCCCATACCGCAAGTTAACTTGGGATTACAGCTGTCGCGCTTCCGCTCTGCCCGCGAAAATGGGGTTCCCGCTCCAGACGTGCCTCAGGTGTTTGTGTGCCCGGTTGATGATTTTGGAGTTCTTTTAAGAGTTATCTGCAAAGTTTCACTTGCAGACTATGGCCTCTGACATCAAGTTTATATTTGCTTCGATTTTAGCGTAAAAAAAATCAAACCCATTGCCGTCGAGTCGATTCCGACTCATAGCGAGCCTGTAAGACAGAGTAGAACCGCCCCATAGATTTTCCAAGATTGTCGTATTGACGGAAGCAGACGGGCACATCTTTCTCCCGTAGCGTGGCTGGGGGGTTCCAACCGCCCGTCTTTCGATTAGCAGCCGAGTGCTTTAACCACTGAGCTACCAGAGCACCTTTAGCGTAAAGTAGAAGGGGTGGAGAAGTGATTAAAACTTCTTGTTAAAAGGAAAGTATACGGTAGCAGATGCAGAAAGCTCCGTTTTCATTGTGAACGTTGGCAAACTTGTAGAATCTCTTCGATTAGATGCGAGTAAATGATCTGCCAAAAAAAATGTATGCCAAGTTCTCTGGGCAGGAAATTTAAAAGGATATGTTCACAGATTGGCTTATCCACTGATCCAGCATAGAGTTTGTTAGTCCTTACATTGTGCTAAGATATGAAACTGGGAGGAATTTTGTTTGCTTGATGGTTGTTGTAGTGGGGAGATACCCGGTAAACCACTAATTATTCAATTACAGGTGTGGTAAGTGGAAATACGGGGTAATTCTTGGCGTCTTTGTTGAACCTAGAGCTGGGGGTTTTATTGCAATGTGATTTTTTTTCTTCTAATTTAAAAGTATATTGACTTGATCTTTACTTTTCTAGCAAAAAAAACTTACTCCTGGAGTAGTCTATGTGGGCCACATACCTCGAGGCCTTTTTGAACCCCAACTCAAGGCATATTTCTCCCAGTTTGGCACTGTTACAAGACTCAAATTGTCCAGAAGTAAAAAGGTAAAATTTTTAAAGTTGCATTAGGTTATTTATCTTATTTTTCAAATGTATGTATATAATCCTTGATAGTTTACAGAGCATTTTCATATATGGGACTGTTTGCTTGGTATTTCCAGCATTCTTGGGATTGCTGGGTAAAGCATTAATATTTTGCCACATGATATTTATTTTCAGTTCACTTGTCAAAGGTTTATGTCTGTGTACAGTGGTGGTAAACTGAGTGGGATTTCAGCGTTTCCCTTCCATTCCTCCACTGTCTTTCCCCTCCTGGTTGAGAGTTGAGACTGTGAAATGGGTTCAGGTATTTTAATTTTTACCGGAATCCTCTTGCAGACAAGTAGACTGAGACTCAGAGTTGTGGACTTATCCAAGGAGCCTGTTAAGCCATGCAACTTTCAAGTGATTTTTTATCTCCAGAATCATATCACCAGTTTCTATTCATTCAAAAATACTTAATGCAAGATTGTAAAACCTTTCTAGTTGTCACTGATAATTGGTGACATTTACTGAGTACTTAACTGACATCATGTTGTGCTTTTTGGGTTATTTCATATCTTTACAGCAACTCTGAGAATGGTTATTTTATCGTCCCCATTTTATAGATTCAAAAACTGAGGCTCAGAGAGCTTAAACGTTACTTACCGAAGTAAGTGTCACAGCGAGATCCAAATCTGAGCATTTGGACTCCAGAACCCACACATTTGTTACTGAGATAGGTGAGAAAATTCACTTTACACTGGGGGGCTGAGGTGAGAGCCCAGGATGCGTGTTTTCACAGAGTCTGTACTGGGAAGGCGGCCAGTCACTGATATAGGTGAAAATGAGCACAGCCTTTTATTGTTGAGCTGGAAGATACTGAGGAGTTAGTTTCTTCTTAGTTCTTACGTATGAAATGGGAATTACGTTACCTGTATTTTATTGTGAAGCATCGTACTATCTCCTGGGTATTACGAATATGTGAATAATATGACTGTCAATGAAGTGGATAATGAGTCAAGGACGGGGGGACCCTATCAGTTTCCTTTACACAGTGAGGTGGTGGTGTTGACTAAATCTCAGCCACAGTCGTCATGCGTTTATCATACGTAACCAGAGTTCTAGGAATACGTAAAAATCCACTGTATGTTCACACTGTTCGGGATCTTCTCCTTTTCCCATAGCTGGCTCCAGATTATGTGAGTTGAAGTTGAAATTAAAAGTGTCCTAAGGTTATTTGGTAATTGGGCTAAAGTACATTATTTAAATTAGTAGCTAAAAATTAGTTTAATAATACATTAAAATTGATTAGGCCTACATCTCATGCGTTTTCCATTACAGACTGGAAATAGCAAAGGCTATGCCTTTGTAGAGTTTGAGTCTGATGATGTTGCCCAGATAGTTGCTGAAACAATGAACAACTACCTTTTTGGTGAAAGACTCTTGAAGTGTAAGTACTCTAACCCGTAACACTGAGTGACGGATGGGTGACTGGCGTGAAGGACAGACTGTTCAGCTGCTTAGACGTCCCACTTCATCTCTGCGGTGATTCTCTTAAGGAGTGGTGCAGGAATTTAAGTGCATTTTCCAGGCAGATTCTAATTAGAATTTTAAAATCTGTAGAGTTCAGAACTGGTATGCTAAAATGGGGTCAGGACAAGTTAGTTTGAGGCACCTCAGAAGAGAAGTTACCCATTCTTAATGGAAGATGGACGGCTTCCGTGAGGAAGCATCCTTTAAGCTGAAACCTGGAGAGTAAATAGGAGTGAGCCAGGTGGGGGGCTGAGCCTGGCTGAGGGGACTGATAGTATTTGCCTGGGGGGATGTAGCAAGAGATGAGTCAGAAGGACTAGGCTGCAGATTAGATTATTAAAGGTCTAATTAGTCAAGTTAGGGAGTTTAGAATTTATCCTGCAGGCAGTGGGGAGCCCGTTAATGGGTTCTAGATAGGCTAGCGCGAAAGGTGGGGCATCCCACTTCAGAGCCAACCTAAATGATAACCGAATGTAGCTCTGGCACTGAAAGCCAGTCCATCCGGAGGCGTGACGACACCAGATGGGAATCTTGTGGTTGGTTGCTGTTGAGTTGATTCCGACTCCTGGCGACCCCATTTGTGCTCCACAGGGTTTCGTTCATGGGTTGTTTTTCCTATTTGTGTTAGATCTTTTGTTTATGTTTTTCCTTAGCTCTTTAATTATGTTTAACATTGTTGTATTATTTGTGAAAATGATGTGATTTCACTTCTTTTGTCACGTTCATTTGGATAGGTCATTGTTTCTCGTCTTCGTGTGTTTTGTGATTTTTCTGTTGGGGTGTTGGAATTTTGGGGTGTTTGCTTTCTCAGTTCTCCCCAGTATTTTGTTCTTGCACATACTAACTTTCTGCAAAAACTTCTTAAGCTGGCAGAGCCGTCCGCCTTTGCTTATTGCTTCCTCTCCCTCTCTGTGATAGCTCTTTCTTCCTCCCTGATTTAATTAGGATTTGACAATTCTAGATCTCAGTTTTCAACTTTCAGTGTCTCCTAAATACACCAGAGAACATGCTGTGATCAGTTTGTCCACCAGGGGGCGCTGCCACTCATGCACGATATTGCGGGCTAATGGGTCTGTCCACCAGGGGGTGCAGTCCAGTTTTTTCTTCCTCCCCACTCCCCTTCCCTGCTTCCCTCCCTCTGCACAGGCGGTGGTGTGGTGGTTAGGGAGACAGGCTTATTTGCTGGGACTGCTTCACCAGTTCACAGCAGCCTGCATGGCTCGGGGGAGGGACAGTGGGAGACACGATTTTCCTACTGGATGCAGCTCGTTGATTCGTGATTCCTGCCTGTCTGCAGTTCCCTGCTGCTGTCCTCTGCTCCCCGATTCAGAGTCCCTCAAGGCCAAGTATCTTTTCCTTTTTATGTTGTATTTGTAGGGGAGGGTCAGGACGGTCATCTATTTAAGCTGCTGTCTTCCCTGGATCTCCACAGCATTTTCAGGGCTCTGACAGTTTGGGAGCATATCTCCAGGCCTGTCTTCCCAGGCACCTCAGGGTGGGTTTGAACTGCCAACATTCCAGCTGGTAATCATGAGCTTACCATTTGCACCTCCTAGGGGCTCCTATAGATTAGGCAGAAAGAAGCAGGAAGAGCCACTGACTTGGCATTTTCAGAGGATACCATGGGCATCTTCATCCTGATCCCAGTGTCTCAGGAGGCAGAACGTGGCCACGCCGGGGGCCCGTGCTCACCTGCTTCTGCTCGAGCAGCTGATGAGGCAGCCAAGGCAGCAGCTCTGTCCTGCTCCCCTGGCCATGAGACAGAGCCTGAACTGCCTGGCTGAGACCAGGATACACCACACATTGAAATGTGGCTCCTGCCAGGGAGAGGTCGGCCGGGGGCAGCCTCCAGGGTTCTGTCACTTGGGTGCGTGAATGCTGTGTTGTGTCTGTCTTCTGAAAAATAGCAAGAACAGTTCTGAGCGCAGATTTTGTTGTTTCTGCTATAAAACAGTCACTCTATTAGGGTCAAATTTGACTCATTTATCATGCTGTTAAGAGATTAGCCACATTATCATGGTTATGATCTGTGGGGATTTACAGGGAAGTTAGCCTTACAATCCCCTCCCTCCCACTTGGTTGAAAACTTTTTTTTCTTGTTTTTTTTTTTTTTTT